TCCTATCCCCCCTCAGTTTCCTCTTTTCTAAGCTGAAAAGTCCCAGTCTCTTTAGCCTCTCTTCATATGGGACCTGTTCCAAACCTCTGATCATTGTAGTTGCCCTCCCCTCTCCCAGCCTCTCTCTTCCCCTCTCCCACCTCCTTTTCCCAGTCTCCCCCAGTTTTGTTCAATAAAGAGAGATTCTATTTTTGAACACAATTGTCCTTTATTTTGAATATCAGGAAGGGGGGCTAGGGAGGGGTAAGTGGAAGGAGGTGAGGGAGGAATGGGGTATGAGCCCCCGATGGGGAGGACTGGGGTGGCTCTGCGGGCTTCTCGGGGTGGAACCTCTCTTGCAGCCCCCCAATTGTCCCCTCTCCAGATGGCAGCCTGCGGCAAGTGCAGCCGGTCTGATGGACGAGTGCTGTGATGTGCCCAGTGTGGGTACTCTGGGCAATCCAAGCCAGGACTGCTTTGCAAGTCGGGCACCCATGAGAACTGTCTGTCCAGAGTGGGGGTCGGATCCCTTTAAGCAAAGCCCTCAGCTAGCCTGAGACAGCAGCTCCACGCTCTAAGTCCTCATCTGATGCCCTGCCGGCACTTCTTCCGGTCATCCTTAACCCCGGTTCAGGGTCCACTTAATGTAGACATGCTAGTTCGAATTAGCAAAACGCTAATTCGAACTAATTTTTTAGTCTGGATGCGTTAGTTCAAATTAGCTTAGTTCGAATTAACTAATTCGAACTAAATTCGAATTAGCGCTGTAGTGTAGACATATCCTTAGTGACTGGGAGATAAGGAGTGGCTGGACAAGGAGTCTGAGAGGCATTCCGGGATAAAGAGCCTTGGGAGCAAGATTGGATATGCAGGAGACTGAGATTTGGACAAGGAACCAATAGTTTGCATGTACAATTATACACCTAAATTCAGAGGCTGGAGTCCTACAGACAAGTTTCCTTCAATACGCAACTCAGATTCATCCCCAGAGTAGGTTCATCTTGTGTACTAAGGCAAGATTCCTGTGAGGAAAAAAAGCAATAAGGCTGTGTCTACATTGGCACCCTTTTCAGGAAAAGGGATGCTAATGAGACCAATCGGAATTGCAAATGCTACAGGGGATTTAAATATCCCCCACGGCATTTGCATGAACATGTCTGCCGCTTTTTTCCGGCTCGGGGCTTTGCCGGAGAAAAGCGCCAGTCTAGATGGGATCTTTCAGAAAATAAAGCCTTTTCCAGAAGATCCCTTAATCCTCTTAAAATCAGGAATAAGGGATCTTCTGGAAAAGGCTTTATTTTCCAAAAGATCCCGTCTAGACTGGCACTTTTCTCCGGCAAAGCCCCAAGCTGGAAAAAAGCGGCAGACATGTTCATGCAAAGCCGTGGGGGATATTCAAATCCCCCGCAGCATTTGCAATTCTGACTGGTCTCATTAGCATCCCTTTTCCAGAAAAGGGTGCCAATGTAGACACAGCCCAACAGTATATGATCATATAATTCAAGACGATATCTTGAAGCAATGCATAGGCAGCTAAATTAGAACAGCACAGGAATCTTACTTCTAACATTTCCTAACTTTTATGTGCTATACTTCGCAACCTTAATATTCCTTTTACATAATGTTTTAGATGGAATACTTCATCCATTGAAATATATACCAACAAAAGCATAAGGAACTGTTTGTCATTCTCCGTGCAGTAAAAATGAAAGGCAATGATTGCAAATGACAAAATGGAAATGTTAATATTTCTTTTTATTAAAATACTTTTTCTGTAAAACATGGCCTCTAATTTACCATACATTTCCACTGAATGCAACTATTTCAGAGTCTGAAAGAAATTTACTGGGGAAGTAAAACACCAAAAGGAAAAAAAACTTTTTAAAATACAAATTAACCTGCTAACACAGTGTTTCTCAAACTGTGCTCCTTGGAGCCCCAAGGCTCCGCGAGATATCTCCAGGGGCTCCATGAGGTTGACAAACTGGAAAGATCGATAGCTACAACACACACAATCAGTGGACAGCTTGGGCTCCGCATAAGTACAACACATACAATCAGTGGACTGTTGGGGCTCCACATAAGTACAACACATACAATCGGTAGACTGCTGGGGCTCCGGAGCCCAAAAAGTTTGAGAACCACTGTGCTAACACATACTAAAAGTTTGTGGCAATTTAAAAATGTGCATCACATCATTTTACTGCGTTTGAAGTTGATTTGATTGTGGAGGGCTGGAACAAAGCCCACTACCTACTCTATATATGTGGTGGTTTTAGCCTCAGTTCAGGAAAACCCTTAACCATATATTTAGGTGTCATTTATTTCAATGAGCTGTAAGATCTTGCTGAAAGTTTGAGACCTGCTTAATAGCCTTAATGAAAAGGGAGAGTCATGCTAAGAGTGAAGCACCTTGTCATGTGCACTGCTAATATGAGGTTGTAATTTATACCTGCAACATTTTAGAGTATTTTAGAAAATGTATACAAGATCCTTACATTGTTTTATGGTTTAAAGTGGAGACTGATTTTACATAGAATATGTGGATCACCTTCTAATCATTTAATCTCTTTGTACCACATCTCTCTCTCTCTCTCTCTCTCTCTCACACACACACGCACACACACACACATATATATATATATAGGTCCTAAGACGTCATTGTCCCATTATGAATGCATATACCTCTATAGGTCGCACCTCTATAAACTACAACTCTCTACTCCAGCAACATCCATGGCCCTTCTGGGCCATGGATGTTCCAGGATCAGAGAGTCCCAGTGCACTGCAGCAGTGGAGGGTCAGGAACTCAGTACTATGCAGGGTGGGGTGACGAGGGGCCCACTGAAGGAGATGGGAGTTGGCACATGGCTCAGCAGGTGAGGAGAGGGAGTCTATGAGCTCGTATGAGGCTCAGCTGGGCTGTGGGGAGAGTCAGGAAGCCCAGGGCAAGAGGTGAGGGGGGCAGAGTATATGGGGCTGGCAATAGGTGGGCCAAAAATTACTTCCGCTGGTCTGTGCAAAAATCCCTCATGGAGGACCAATCAGGTCCTGAGGCTGTTCGATCCGGGAGATCCAACCTGTAGTACTGAATGTATCAATTGCTTACTGGGTACAGTGATATTTTGCTATACTTTCTCTGAAAACAGATATTATATTCTTTCTCTATTTCGTATTCCTAAAGGTTATTTTTACAACAATCAAGAAAATGCAGACACCTCCCAGTGAATAAGAGACTCAAACTTCCGAAACTTTATTCAATGCCTATGCAATTGTGAAAGAATTCAAATTTGCCAGCTGAAAAAAATGACTGTAAAATCAATCATTCTTGTAATGGTATATCTTCAAACATACCCTGCAAATGGACAGAAGATATGTGAAAGGCCAATGAGTGTGGAATGGCACACACAACCAGAACAACACATTGTGAAATGGACTCTGATGAACAATATATGTTCAAACTTCTACACAGAGTGCTGGAATATAAATACCAATAACGAAAGGAATATGCTAGAACAGAAGGCTTTGAATGTCCCTCAAATATGCCCATTGCAGCTTCAGTTGGGTGATAGTCTGTTCATATCTTCAGAGGAAACTTTTGAGTTACATAGGATAAATTTGGGGTATGTTTCCCTGGAAGAATTTATTAGGTGCCCTACAAAAGGCTTTCTTCAAGAGCAGTTGATTTTTGGTAGCAGGTTAAGAGGGACGCACCAAGTTGATCTTCAGTGGCTCAAAGCTGGAACTCATTATTTTGCAGAAATTCAGACCAAAGGACCACTGTTATGCAACCTGGGCCTTCGGCTTAATGTAACAGTAAAGCAGCAGTTTTGCCAACAATCTTCAAATGCACCTTTTTGCTCCAGACATGGCAGATGCTTAAGCAATATATGGGAAGAGGCATATAACTGCCGCTGTTCTCAACAGTATTTGGGGAGATTCTGTCAGGAGTTCGACGCATGCTCCAGTAAACCCTGTCGCAACAATGCCGCCTGTATTGACACAAGAGAAGGACTTATTGGAGATTCCTACAAATGTGTCTGTCACTCACAATTTGCAGGTAATATTCCTTTTTCCCCTAAATAGATTTATACTATTTGTAGAAGAACTAATGTTCTTCTGTAAATTAAAAAAAAGAAAGAAATGTAAAAAAGTAAACTGAATAAATAATTTGCTCTGTGTAAGTGTGCTTCTGATGGCCTACTGACATGATTAAAATACACTTGAAATAATGTTTAATCATAAATTTGCACAATAATTTAGGACCACATTCTGCCTTACTTATCCTGATTAATATTTGTGAGGCAAGGTGAAATTAGCACTTTCCCACTCTTTGCATAGTTTGTCTCAGTGTCAGGAAGTATTGCAAACCCTATCCTGAAGGCTTGATCCAAAAACTTGATGATGATAAAAATGAGTTTGGAATCAGAATCCCTGAAATTATGTTTCCTCCATTTATATTTTCATTGGGGGACAAATTATACTGTACTCTGACGTGGAAAAGAAAGGGCAGGAATGAGGCAAGGCTGTGGTTCTCTTCCTGTATACCAGCCAACAGAATGTACTGGTTGTACAGAGAGAATTTAGGTGCTCTCAACGAAAGGGTATTGTTAACTGTTTTTGTTTGCTATCTGGGACTTCCAGAAAGACTGTTGAACCCCTGTTAGTGTTATGGTTCCTCAACACTCCCAAACACAATGGTGTGCCAAAAAAACCACAGCTGACCCAAATGAGTGAAAGATATCATCATAGACTATGAACTTGAATATTTGGGCTAGGTTTGCCATTGATCAGTTTTATGGTTATATTATCCCCATGCAATAGTTCTAGAAGCAAATGCATTCACAAATAAGAGAATGCGTTCATTTACAAAGAGTAACAATGTTAAGAAAAGGTTTAATACATATTTTCCAAAGTTTAGTAAAAAATGGTGTGAAAACACAAAACACACCGGGCATGCCTGTTCCTTTTGGAAGATGCTGGTTTGATCTCTGATAAGTATAAGGCTAATTGCATAGGATGCCTTAAAAATTATCCAACTGTAAGGACCAGATTTAACTTCGATTAATGTAGATAAGGATTCCTAATGGAAATTCATTAAAGCATTATTTGAATATACTGTTAGGTATGCTTAACATGTTAAGCATTTAGATTCTACCATCAATTTATATTGGCAGTTTAATTCTAATATTAAATAAGCTGTATGGAAAGGAGGAGCACAAAGATTAAAACATCAGATATTATGGCTGTGCTTACACAGGTGCAAATAGGAGGAAATGTCTCCCATAATGTTAACAAAACAGAATATTTGCTCAAGTATGAATAATATCATAGTGACAATTCAAGTGACAAGCATAATTATATGCTATTTAGACTCATATGCTGTAAAGTACAAGCAATTTATGACTAGTGCAGTAATTTCCAGTGAGTTTCATGTTAAGCTAAATTCATTCAAAAAGTGATTCCACATTCCAGTAGTTTCTAGTATTTGCAGTTTCTAAGAAGTAAACTGTCTATGAACAAATAACTAAGAAACAAATAATATATATTAAATTAAAGGGTTAACAATAGCTCTGAATCAATTATATGTCTGTGTCTTAATACTTTTGCGTCTGGTACCAATGAATACAATTAACATTGCCCAATACTTCCTATTAAAACTGTTCTCAGTTGATTATAACTTTGTCAGACTAGGTCCTTAAGGGGAATTTCAAACTAAAGTATGCAACTCCAGTTATAGGCATAGTGTAGCTAGAGTCAATGTACCTTATTTTAAGTTACCACATGTAGTCTGCCAAAGTAAGTCTAAGGTCCGACACTGGGTTCCCAAAGTACAAAGGACGCCACACAGGTATCTGTCAAGCACAAGAAGTTTATTTCTTCACAGCTAACAGCTGTGTCCCATAGATGGAAGAACAATATAACAAAGAAGCGGCATATCTTACATCCCTTCTGCAAGCCTGGGACCCTGGGTAGACTGCGGACAAAGTGGGAGGTTGTCTCAGTTTCTGAGGCACTGGCATCTACAGCCCATCAGTGAAGTCCAATTTGCTAGGCACCGAGGCAGCCTTAAATACAGTTTTCCTGCCCTGTTTGGCAGTTTGGAAATTTCCAGGGCTTACTTATTAGTGCTGATGTAGAGCTTAGCTGTTAGTTACTGATCTGGTTCTGATCTGGTTCTTCTTGTTCTTTGGCCCTGTTTACGTGATCAGTACGTTAGGGGAAACAGAATTGTTTATGCGTTCTTACTTGCTATGCTGGCAACAATGCTTATCTTAAGTGGCGTATGTTCCCAAAGACTTGCTTTTGGCTCATCAGATATAGGGGAAAGGGAAAGGGGGGAAGGAATGCAGGCCTCACCACTCCTAAACTAACTCATACAAAGTTTTTCCGCAATTGACCACTACACCACAATGTCTCCACTTTCCCACTAATTCCCCTAACTCTTCCTGATCTTCTCTAAATTGATCCCCCAGGAGATCAATCCCTGCAACACCAGTTCCCCAGTAAGGTTAGAAAAGGCCTTGGATAATTTGTCTTCACAGTGATGTATGGAAGTTGGAAACTATTTGGGCTCAAATTTGAAAATTTAATATTCTATTAAAATAGGGGTAGGTGGGTATGTTTAAATTTTGTGTGTGTGTGTGTGTTTAAATTTCAGTATATAGTTGTCTCTTTACAAAAAACTATCTTACTATTGTACTATCATCTCAATAGGTAAAAACTGTTCAGAAATAATTGGACAGTGCCAGCCCCATGTCTGTTTGAATGGCAACTGCAGCAATGTTACTCCAAATACTTTTCTTTGTAAATGTAACAAAGACTTTACAGGTAAGACATTCATTTTGTTTCCTATGATGTAACAGTAATTGTAAAGCAGAAATGTACATGAAACATTGAGTTATTGTACAGTTTCCAATATGAGGTTTATGAGGAAAACCAAGTTAATTGTAATGCTCACATAAGCACATATTTCTTGTACGACTCACACCTTACAGCAAAAGAAATGGCAGCAGTTTTCAATGCTTTTCATACTGTGTTCCCTTATATATATCGGTTACCCCTCCCACGTTAATAATATGCAAATAGCAGGGTGTTTCTAACCACCTGCTAATGAACCCACATACCCCTAAGTAAGGCTATCCGAATCCAGTCATGGATAATTCAGCCTTAGTTTTAACTGTCCATGACTTCTGTTTTATTAGGTTCAGTGTTTCAACTGTATGTAAGAGTGAAATAAGAAGAAAAATACCTCTAGAAATCATCAGTCTGATGATTCAGTAGTGTAGTGCCTGCAGATAACAGACAATCACATGGTCCCAATTGTTAGGGTCATTCTGACCTTACAAGCTAGAATCTAGGACCTCAAATCAAGTACTTATGGTGCTTTCATGAAAGAAGTACAAAGGGTACATCTAAAACTATGTTATTGTTATATTGACCAAAACAGTGTCTAGGAGCAGCTTGACAGAATGCCTGTCCTGACAGAATCCCACAGCAGAAGCTGTAATTGTACAAGAATAACAGAAGCAATAATAGTAAAAAGAATAGTCTTATTAGAATGAAACCATAGATACAACCATAAACTAGTACTGGACTAGCTTCAAAGTGTCACTATCTATGGGCCATCAGCTTTTACAGGAAAAAATCCTTGACATCAACAAATTGCACGAACAGGACAATCAGTTATTTGATCAGGATATGCAAGTGAACAGGATAAGAAGGTGAACAAAAGACAAACATGGAGATGAATTTAAACATCAGGCTGCAAGTTTAGTAACTTAACAAGGGAGGAGGGACACTGTGTACTCCCCTTACAAATACAACTGATGTTTGATTTGGTCCACTGCAACATTAAAGATTCCTACTATATTACCAATAACTTGCAGTATGTTCTGTTCAATTTGAGTTATAGGACTCAGGTTTTTTTCTTTTACCCTTCATCTATCAAGCAGGGTAGAGAATAACAAGGAAAACTCAGGGTGTGTCTACACAACATCCTTATTTCTAAATGAGCTACGCAATTTGTGCTACTCAAATTGCATAGCTTATTTTGAGTGTACTTTAAATAACTTATTTTGTAATTTGGCACTGTCTACACAGTACCAAATTTCAAAATAACTCACTATTCCAAAATGTCCCTTACCCATCATGTAATAAGGGATACTGGAAAATTGGAATAAGCCACCCATTATTTAAAAGTTATGTTGAAATAAGGGGCTGCTTCAATAGACATGGAATAGCTATTTCAGGATACTTCCAGTATCCCAAAATAGCTCCACAGTATAGATGTTCCCTCATACTACAAATATATGAGGCTATCACTTCTCTACAAGCCATATCACAGGTTTCATTTTTATGTGTGGGAGCTGTCCCTTTTAGCCTTTATTCTCATTGGCCGCCACTTACTATGAAAACTAAAGATTCCTATATTTATCTCCTAATGCGTATTCTTCCGCCTTTAAACCTAAACTGTGTCTCCAGTTTAGAGTCATAGAATTCATGTTCTCCTAACTGTGGTTGAAACTGGAGGTAAATAGTTATGGCAGCTCTATGCAGTGACTAGCTTCTCTGGTATTTTAGTATCAGATAAAATCACATTCCTGAATTGTATCAGGCTTAAATAGGTCTGTTTGGTTTCAAGATCCAGAGGTACCTGCTTAATCTCAAATCCTACACTGTCCTATTGTGTTGAACAAGCTATTATGACATAAAGGGCACGTCTACACTGCTGGGCAAAAGGCGAATTAAGATATATAACTTCAGCAACGTCAATTGCATAGCTGAAGTCGAAATAGCTTAATTCGACTTTTGGCACTGTTTACATAGCAAGAAGTCGAAGAAAAAACATTCTTCCTTTGACTTCCCTTATTCCTCATGAAATGAGGGTTACAGAAGTCAGAGTAAGAAGTCCTCCATCTCAAAAGTATTTTGAAATAATGTCTCGCTATTTAGACGTGCACTATGTTATTTCGAAATAATGTCAGTTTTTCGACATACGTGCTGTGTAGAGATACCCAAAATGTCCAAATTCTAAATGTAGGCTACTGCCACAAATCCCTCCCCAAATGTAATGAAAACATGTTAATGAACCACATGGATGAAAAAGCAGCCCCTTACTTTCCATCTCTCTCAAACCACTCGTCTCCCACACACATCCTCATCCAGTAGCATAACCCTTGTTGGCACAATGTTCCATTAGATTTTGAACTGACCTGCATTTACCTTTACTGCACAAACACACACACACACAAACTCATAGCCAGCTTCAGGAAATTGCTCCACTTCTACTTCAATTGACAGAAATATAAGTTTGACCAATTTCTTTTAAGGGAACAGTTCCAATATGTATATGGGAAGACTCTTTCATTTCAAAAGGTGTTGGTCTCTCAGAGGAAAAAAATTAAAACTGCCTGCATCCATTAACCTTCAATGGAAGGGGGAAAAAAATCAAGGTCACATTTTCATATTTGAGGACAACTCAGAGGTATCCATGCTCTTGGATACTTATCTGAATGAAAAACTGCCAGTGAACCTTTTGAATTTCACCCATCACTAGTTTCAATTCAAGTATATCTTACTATATTTATTCAGTAACTTAAGGGTGAGTATATTTTTGCTAAATAAATGCTGAGAAAATACCAGAAGGATCCTTCCTGCGAGTACAGTAAAAAACCCTAAAAATGTGTATACAGCGTACTTAAGTCAGATATAAAAAACCAATGTATTTTCAAAATGTCTGATAACCTTATATGATAATGCCTCACCATAAAAGGCATGTAAACTTGCGTTTAAATTTTGGCCTGTGAGAAGTCCCATTCACTTTAATGGAACTATTCACATGCTTAAAGTTAAACATAGAGGGCTCGTCTACACTGGCCCCTTTTCCGAAAGGGGCATGTTAATTTCACAGGTCGTAATAGGGAAATCCGCGGGGGATTTAAATATCCCCCGCGGCATTTAAATAAAAATGTCCGCCGCTTTTTTCCGGCTTTTATAAAAGCCGGAAAAGAGCATCTACACTGGCCCCGATCCTCCGGAAAAAAAGCCCTTTTCCGGAGGATCTTATTCCTTATTCCGGAGGATCTTATTCCTTAGAGCTTTTTTTCCGGAGGATCGGGGACAGTGTAGACGCTCTTTTCCAGCTTTTCTAAAAGCTGGAAAAAAGCGGCGGACATTTTTATTTAAATGCCGCGGGGGATATTTAAATCCCCCGCGGATTTCCCTATTACAACCTGTGAAATTAACATGCCCCTTTCGGAAAAGGGGCCAATGTAGACGTAGCCAGAGGGTATGTCTACACTACCACCCTAATTCAAACTCTGCACCATGTGCCATTTGCATTTCTTTTTAATTTATTTAAAATTCAGTGCTTCAGCTGGAGATATAGATGAGATAATAATAGAACACAGAGCCTTTTATATTTAGGACACCTGGTCATACCTAGCTCAGGCTGGCAAGGAACTGGAAAATAATTACCATTTGTTTATTCTTTGGAAGGCTACTCAAAAACAATCGGTGGTCAGATTCCAGAAATAAGGCAATATTTCATATCTGGCTGATAAAATAATTGATTGTGAATGTTTTTAAATTTATTTAGCCTTTTTATCTAAGTATTCATTGAACAATGTATGCAGATACATTTCCATCTCTAAGGGTTATCACTTTGACTATTTGTTGTTCAGCATGCAAAGACAATGATTTCCCTTTCAAATATTTCAAGTTAGTATTTTTGAATAAATTACTCTGGTAATGGTCGAAATAAAGTACAATTTAACAAAAGGAAGAGTTGTTCTTATTTTAAAAACATCAAAGGAAAAATATTTTTTTTTGGTTAAAGTTTGGACTGAAAGTCAGGAGGCGTGGATCTTTTAACAACAGCTAAATGAGTGTGTAACCCTGGGGCAAATCACAAAAATACCCCTGTCTATCTCAGGAAGTGAAGCAGGAGGGTGATCAGGTAATCAAAAGTGATGATTAACTTCTGGGAGGGCAAAGACAAAGGAAAAGTTTATTTCTACGCATACAGGAGCTGAGCCCCTCCTTCTTCTTCAAATTCCACATGTATTAATTTAGATGGAATAAATGGGCCCCAAAACATCAACATTGTTAACATGCCCTGGTCACATGTTTAAACATCTGAAGAAGTGGGTTGCACCCACGAAATCTCATGATACCATCTATATGTTTTGTTAGTCTTTTAGGGTATGTCTACACTACAAAGTTAATTGGAACTAACAGACGTTAGTTCGAATTAATTTGATAGGCACTACTCTAGCGCTCCGCTAGTTTGAACTTAAATCGAACTAGCGGAGCACTTAATTCGAACTAGGTAAACCTCATTTTACGAGGACTAACACCTAGTTCGAATTAGCTAGTTCGAATTAAGGGCTGTGTAGCCACTTAATTCGAACTAGTGGGAGGCTAGCCCTCCCCAGCTTTCCCTGGTGGCCACTCTGGGCACCACGAGGGAAACCCATCTGCCCCTCTCCCGGCCCCAAAGCCCTTAAAGGGGCACGGGCTGGCTACGGTGCCCGTGCCAGGTGCAAGCCTACCAGCACCCAGCCAGCAGACCCTGCACCTGGCATGGC